TCAAGTGATCCGCCTGCCTCAGCCTCCCAAAGTGCTGGGATTACAGGGAGGAGCCACTGCTCCCCGGCCCAATTTTACTGAATGCAAACAATGGAAAACTTAATTGCAAAAGGCTCCTTTACCAAGTCATTAGAGTCATTCACTTTCCCAGCAGCCCCACCAGTATTTTAATTATCTTCCTGCTTGGCACTCCGATGCTTAGCGGTAGGTGAGTGGTGTGTCTTCCCTTTGAAGAATGGTAATCAGGAAAAAGAAAGTGTGAAGGGAAAACCAGCAGGCCACCTGAGCCACAGACATTGTCTCAGGTCGGTCAGTTAGAACTGATTAACACTCCTGTTTACAATAGCAAAGACCTGGAACCAACCCAAATGCCCATCGACGGTAGACTGGATAGGGAAAATGTGGCACATATACACCATGGAATATTATGCAGCCATCAAAAACGATGAGTTTGGGTCCTTTGTAGGGACATGGATGAACCTGGAAACCATCATTCTCAGCAAACTGACAGAAGAGCAGAAGATCAAACACCGCATGTTCTCACTCATAGGCGGGTGTTGAACAATGAGAACACATGGACACAGGGAGGGGAGCACTACACAATGGGGTCAGTTGGGGGGAAATAGGGGAGGGACGGTGGGGGGTGGGAAGCTGGGGAGAGATAGCAAGGGGAGAAATGCCAGATGTCAGTGATGGGGAGGAAGGCAGCAAATCACACTGCCACGTGTGTTCCTATGCAACAATTTTGCATGTTCTTCACGTGTACCCCAAAACCTAAAATGCAATAAAATAAATAAATGGGAAAAAAAAAAAGAACTGATTAAAACTCAAGATCTAAGACTCAGCAACTAATTCCCTTCAAATATTTAGTGCCTGCATGTCCCTTGAAACATCTTCAAGTGCCTCCAAGTGTGCATCCCCTGATTTAAATGCCACTGCTCTAAGTCACCTGCATGGACAGACCTTGAGTTCTAAGGCAGATGGAGATGATAGGGAAGCACACAATGAAACCCTTTTTTATATTATCCAAAGGCTGATACTAATTTGGGCTGTTTCACATACAGATTCTACCATAAATGAGAGTCAAGTATCAAAATTTTAATACAAAAAAATGAGTGCTACTATACACTTTCACTTGATCAGATGTGCTTTAAAAATGAAAACATAGCATTCTACAAAATGAATTTTGCAGTCCCTTTCCTGACAGATCATATTCCATGTAGCAAGATCAACACAAGGGCACCATAAAAGCAGCTGCCATCCTATTACAAAAGCAATCCCGACATAGCAGTTTCCAATTGTGGCTGTCCGTATTCTGATACAGTTACCTTAGGGTGGGGCCGATACAATCAGTAGCTTTTTTAAAGAACTCCTCAGGAATTCTAAGTGCGGGTCAGGGTTAAGAATCATTGAATTAATATTAAAGTATTAAAATTAGGTGTTTGGGGTTTTTTTGAGACACAGTCTTGCTCTGTCGCCCAGGCTGGAGTGCAGTGGTGTGATCTCAGCTCACTGCAACCTCTACCTCCCAGGTTCAAGCAATTCTCATTCCTCATCCTCCCAAGTAGCTGAGACTACAGGCATGTGCCACCATGCCTGGCTAATTTTTGTACTTTTTTGTAGAGATCGGTTTCACCATGTTGGCCAGGCTGGTCTCAAACTCCTGAGTGATCTGCCCACCTCGGCCTCCTAAAGTGCTGGGATTACAGGCATGAGCCACCACGCCCAGCCGGAATGAGTTTTTATTATAGAAGGGTGATAGTTGTTTCTAATTTGGAGATTTTTGTTTTGCTTTGTTTTGAGACAGGGTCTAGCTCTGTCACCCAGGGTAGAGTGCAGTAGCAGGATCATGGATCACTGCAACCTCTACCTCCCAGGCTCAAATGATCCTCCCACCTCAGCCTCCCAGAGTAGCTGGGACTACAGGTGCATGCCACCATGCCCAGTTAATTTTTGTGGGGTTTGTGTGTGTGTGTGTGTGTGTGTGTGTGTTTTGTGTTTTTTTTTTTTTTTTTTGGTAGAGACAGGGTTTCACCATGTTGCCCAAGCTGGTCTTGAACTCCTGGCCTCAAGCGACTCCCTGCCTCAGCCTCCCAATGTACTGGGATTACAGGAATGAGCCACCACACCTAGCCCTCTTTTCAGTTTTTAAAATGTGTTATTTACAATTAAAAAGCATCAAGATGTGTTATTTACAATTAAAACGCATCACAGGTTGTATAGTTCTATGTAAATAAAAATGTACCATCTTTTTCACTTAAGAGAAGCCATTTCAAGAAAAACACTAGGCTGGGCGTGGTGGCTCATGTCTGTAATCTCAGAATTTTGTAAGGCCAAGGCAGGAAGATCACTTGAGCTCAGAAGTTTGAGACCAACGCTGGGCAAGATACTGAGACCCCCCTCTCTATGAAAAATAAAAAATTAGCAGGGCGTGGTGGGATGTACCCGTAGTCCCAGCTCCTTGGGGAGCTAAGGTGGGAGGATGAAGCCTGGGTGTCCGAGTTTAAAAAAAAAAATTAAAGAAAAATATTAAGTCACATCTCTAAATTCAAGGAATTCAATGAGATACATCATTCATCAATTTTTATTGGGAGCCTATTTAGTGGAAAACATTATCAATGATATAGATATGAGAAAAGGATTAAATGAGAAAATGCTCAAGGAACTTAACACATTGCCTGGCACCCAGCAGGAGCTCAGAAACTGTGTTTTTAAAATTCTGAACTTAGGATTCAGGTGGAATATCTACATAATTTTCTTACCCAACAATTCCAGTCCTCATGGTTTTTGTTCATTTTACTTACTGTGACTTCTCAGGTTAGAAAAAGTAATGTCTCATATGGACACCACAATATTTCTGGTCATCCTGACTCTAACCTTAAGAGTGATCTTTTTTGAGATTATGAAAATACTACATGCACGCAGCAAACACAACATCAAGTTGAGTATAAATTAAAAAGTCTATCTGCTTTCCTATTATTCACATACACCCAAATTCCCAATACCCATTCCTATGTCACACCCAAATCTATTCCCCAGAGGTAATACTAAATGATTTTTTCCCTTCATTTCCTTATTCTAACATCATGAAATATAATTCATTCCTTCTTTTACATTCTCCTCAAATCAATTCTTGTTTTACTAAACCCATCCTGGTTCAGTCCTTCACCTTCTAATCAATCTCCTTGCCTCCAGTCTTTTCTGCACACAACTCATTGATGAAATGTGTCAGCCTTCTTGGCTGCCAACTACAGAATCCATTCTATGTGTTTTAAAGTCATTTACTGCAGCAGAGGACTAGGTGATACCCAGCCCTGGGATCTGAGCTGAATCCCACTGTAGAACTAGTCTGGTAACGGAGCAACAACATGGCCACTAGACGCACCCCAGTTGTATTATGATCAGGAAGTTGCCTCTGAAATCACCCAGGGCACGCAAGCGTTCCCTGATTTTGTTTGTTTGTTTTGCATCTCACTCATGAATCCAAGCCTTGCTATAAGATCTCACTCAAATGGGCAAAATTCAAGTCAACAGTCTGCATCCTAACAGCAAGAGAATCTGCGTAATACGATTTGATAGGTTCTTATGTTTCTGTTTTATTTTGTATTCTCTTTCGGGACATCAGGATTCACAATGTAGAAAACAATTCAAATGTGAAGAGAATGTTCAAGACTCTTGGAAGCCATAACAGAAGTCTACAGCAATGAGAAGAAACTCATCTTCCTAACTTACCACTGTAAACAGCCTTCTAGTAGAGAAAGAGCAAGCATGGGGGACATGAAGGTGTGCCACGCAGATCCCACTTCAAGGGCCCCACTCTGCCTTAGTGCAGTAGTTGGAGACAGCCGCCAGCAGTTGGTCCTTTAGGGTTTGTCTCAGCTGCTGACAGCCACCTGGCCAAAACACACCCTCCAAAGGACAGTTCACATCCAGAAACTGACGAAGACAGGCAGATAAAAACAAGCTTCGCCATTTCAGCCCAGCACTGGAGCGCTCTGATGGGCCATAAACACTCCAAAGCTTCCCATACAGCTCTCCAAACTGCAGGCCTAAGCTGCAGTTTGACTTCTCACTCTGCCCAGCTCTGCTTCTGCCCCCTCCCTTCCACAGGTGTTAATCCCTAAAAAATGTGCATTCCTGTACACCAAACTGTCTCAGCATCCACTTCTAAAGAGCCCAAACTGTGCCAGCAAACCACCTCCAAGGGTTTTCAGCTATGGTTACAGGGGAGCTGTTTATTCCCCACTCTGGTCTCCTCCTCTGTGTTAGTCTCAGATCTGTAAATAAAGTAGTAAATACTTACTGTTTTTGTCTCACTCTGTCACCCAGGCTGGAGTGCAGTGGTGTGATCTCGGCTCACTGCAACCTCTGCCTCTTGGGTTCAAGCGATTCTCCTGCCTCAGCCTACCGAGTAGCTGGGTTTACAAGCATGTGCCACCAGGCCTGGCTAATTTTTTGTATTTTTAGTAGAGATGGGATTTCGCCATGTTGGCCAGACTGGTCTTGAACTCCTGATGTCAGGTCATCCACCCATTTTGGCCTCTCAAAGTGCTGGGATTATAGGCACAAGCCACCACATGCAGTGTAAATACTTCTTATCAATTATTTTGCTGAAATTTACCCAGTCATTTTTTGGTTGAATGAAGAAGCTCTCCCTCTAACGGACTCCCCAATAATGGCTTAAAGTACAGAATTTCCTGAGCCACTGTGCAAACTGTTTACCTAGTCTTGATACCTGGAGGACAGCCTGGCTGAATATAAAATGTTTGGCTGTCATTCTCTTTAAAATCTTTTCACAATGCTGCTCCATTGTTGCCTTGCTTTGTATGTCATTTTGAGTAACATGATGACAGTCAAATTCTTTTGTACCTGTAAACTATACAATCTTTCTTTGCAAGGAATCCTTGAGAAATTTTTTTCTTTATCTTATAATTTTGGGTTACTATTACCAGGTATCACCTGGCGGGCTCTTCCAATATGCAGATTCAGGTCATCTTTTGTTTTAGAACCTTTTCTTGGATTTTAAATATTAGTTCCACTCTATGATTGTTTTTCACCTTCCTCGTGCAATTATATCTAACTTATTTCCTCTATGATTGTTTTTCACCTTCCTAGTGCAATTATATCTAACTTATTTCTGCTTTGCTACCTTCCTCAAACGCTTCTCTCTGATCTTTTTCACTCTATGAAAAAGTTTTAATTTCAAAGACAAGATTTCAGGCTATCAAGATCTGATACAAAATATCTACGAGATACAGGCTGGACACATGAAACAAGCCCTCTGTTCTGGCCAGGCAACCTCCTCACCACATCCTGGGCACACTCTTACTCATTCCAATTGGATGTGTCTATTTCCTCTCAATACTTTTCCTGCTATTTCATAAGTCCCTCTCTCACCTTTCTGGCCCCAAATTAGCTCTCTTTTTCTAAATTTGTAAAATTTTACTGTTTAACTCATTTAGGGGTATAAGACATTTTTGCTGGGAAATAAAATTATAGTACTGTCTTGGCCAGGCACGGTGGCTCACGCCTGTAATCCCAGCACTTTGGGAGGTCAAGGTGGACGGATCGCAAGGTCAGGAGTTTGAGACCAGCCTGGCCAACATGGTAAAACCCAGTCTCTACTAAAAATACAAAAATTAGCCAGGCATGGTGGCGGGCGCCCATAATCCCAGCTACTTGGGAGGCTGAGGCAGGAGAATTTCACTTCAACCCAAGAGGCAGAAGTGGCAGTGAGATGAGACCACACCATTGCACTCCAGCCTGGGCAACAGAGCGAGATTCCACCTCAAAAAAAAAAAAAAAAAAAGAAGTATAGTATTACCTCATACCATTCATGTGTCAGGAGCTTTGAACTTACCTCTAAATAGAATGAGAACCTGAACGCTAAGAACCATGACCCATATTTTGCTTTTCCCCTTCAGGGCATGTTAAGGGCTGAATTGTATTCCTTACAAAATTCCTACGTCTAAGTCCTCATCCCATTTCTCAGAATGTGACTATATTTGGAGATAAGATCTTCAAAGAGGTAAGGAAGTTAAAATGAGGTCATGAGAGTAGACTCCAAATCCAATATGACTGGCATCCTGATAAGAAATGGAAAGATGGACCAAGAGATGGTACAAAGAGAAAACTATGTGAAGACACAGAGAGAAGATAGTCATCTTCAAGTCAAGGAGCCTAGTCCCTGATACTAGCTCTACACCTCAGAGTTCGCTCCTAGCCAACCCTATCCTCTGCTCACACATGCCCCCCTCGAGACCTAACCTCTGCTACAACTCAGCAAGGCTGTTCACTCTGAACAAAACAAGCTGAGATTCAAGTGAATGCATCCATCCTTGATAATGGCATGTTGTCTGTGGCAAATGAGATGAAGAGGCAAAATGCCAAGGATTCTGTTTCTCATGTATCCAAAGTTTCATTTGTTTGTAGGAAAAGTCCTTCTGTGGAAGCAAATCTCATAACCTAGTTAAAAGACTTACAAAATTTTTCTAATTCTGCAGAGTAAATGAAAAAAATCATTATTTGTAAGAAAAGTTATACTACAGCTCAGACTAACCAATCAGCAAAATAATATTTCTCTTGCTTAGCATAAAGAACAAGTGTATTGAACATTCGCTATACAGCTAGTGCTCAACTTACGACCACGATTGGTTCCGACAGACCGGTCGTAACACGATTTGGTCGTAAGTTGAGTAGGCTATATGCACGCGGAGATGGTAGTGCTGCCGGAAGCTGGTCCGCACTGTCGTTCGCCCAGCTGGGCAACGTTTGCGCTGCCAGACAAGGAGCAGTCGCGGTTAGCGATTGTGGTCGTAAAGTCGAATGGTCATAAGTTGATCAATACCTGTACAGTATATTTTAAAGCAAAGGCTTAAACATACCTTGAAAACTCAGAGGAGTGAGCTTTTCTAATTGTTGTCTTTCCTTATTAAAGATTTGTGTCTAGTCTCAGCTGTGACTTATAAAACATAACCTTACATTTTCACGACCCTTCATCACTTTCAGAGTACTTTATTACTATTATTATTTTTGAGATGAAGTCTTGCTTTGTCTCCTAGGATTGGCGTACAGTGGCACGATCTTGGCTCACTGCCTTCTCTGGCTCCTGGGTTCAAGAGATTCTCCTGCCTCAGCCTCCCAAGTAGCTAAGATTACAGACATGCGCCACCACGCCTGGCTAATTTTGGTATATTTAGTAGATACCAGGTTTCACCAAGTTGACCAGGCTGGTCTCAAACTCCTGACCTCGCGATCTGCCCACCGCAGCCTCCTAAACTGCTGGGATTACAGGTGTGAGTCACCACGCTCAGTCAGAGTACTTTTACAGCACGTGTCTTATTACATTCTTGCAATGAGGCTAACAAGACAGTCATTAGCCTCATTCTGCTTGTGGTAAAACAAACTGAGAAGTTAAATGACTTGCCCCAAATCACATCACTAGTAAGTTGCAGGACCCACATCCTCTGACACTCTGTCCTGACTCCAGCCATGAAATGAAGGCATTCATTTAATATATACCAATTCTTTTATTAACTATTAATATTTCTGTTTACCCAATAGTATATCCTAACCGTTTTTTTGAAATGATACCCTAGTTACTTTAAATAGAATTTTGTATAAATAATGAGTAAATATGAAAATGATAGTAACTCATAGACAGAAGCTACTCATTTTACCTTATTTTAAAAAGCTATCCCTTTTATGCCAAGTCACTTAAACCTCCCCCTACTCTATCCTACCTAAATGGTTAATTCTGTCCTATCTTCCATACAATTTTACAAGCTATGTTATGCTCCCAGAGCAAGAAGGAATAACCAAATCTCTGAAATGTCCCCCCCATTCTAAAAATGAATAAAGGAAAAAGTGAATTAAATGGGAAAGCTATAGCAATGGAAAACATCACATGTGCATTTGCTAAATGTTAAGGTTTTTGAGAAATTTCCTAAGTGAGAAAACACTCTCCAAGTTAAGTGCGAGAAACTTATATCTTTGTTTGTTTTAATGTAGTTTATAGAGTTTAAGATTAGCCTTTAAGCATTTCTGAGTTTTTCTAACTAAAAATAAATCTTAAGTATTTGGGTCAAAAGAAATAAATAAACATGGTCCAGAAGAGCAGGGAGAAAAAAAGAGGATCCTGCAAAATGAGACTTTACAGTAACTGGCTTTCTAGAAATCTTACATCTAAGAAAAAGGTCATGGACCCCTAGTTATCTTCTTAACAGAAGAGAATAATGTGGAAAACCTAAGACATAGATTTCCCAGGAGTGACAATCAAGAGTTATAGGACTTCCAGGGCAGAGAGATCAAGTAACAAGAAATTATAAACACCAAATGCTCTCTTTTCATAGTCAAAGTAATCTGCATGAACTATCTCCATCCCAAAAGGATAATGTATGACTAACACCAGTCTCATAGTTTCAATAATTTGCAATTTTCTACCATATGCAGAACTTTTTCAAAGTAATGTTAAACTGAACTTTTTCAGCAGAACGCATTTAAATGCACATTCAGCCATATGAAAAGCTTCTATGGTTTAATGACTGGTTTACACATAATTCATTTTTTCACCAAAGCACAAGTTAATATGTCAAAGATCCTTCGAGTTAACTTCCAAAGAGTTAGAACAAATTTTAGCTTGCAGAAGCCTAGGATCAATTGTACTGATAAGGTTCACTGTGACAAAGAGAATCCTAGCTACCAAACCCAGTAGCTGTTTTTCCTGTCCTCCTTAAAAGACATTTTGAAACAGGCATATGGCTACAGAAAAGACTCCTCTTCCCAGCCTACCACTTGCAGCTGAGATCCAAACATATGACTAAGTTCTGGAAATCAGATGTATATAAAATTTGGGAGTTTGAGACCACCCTTACCAACATGGAGAAACCCTGTCTCTACTAAAAATACAAAAAATTAGCCTGGTTTGTGGTGCATGCCTGTAATCCCAGCTAGTCAGGAAGTTGAGGGAGGAGAATCCCTTGAACCAAGGAGTTAGAGGTTGCAGTGAGCCGAGATCATGCTATTGCATTCCAGTCTGGGCAACAAGAGCAAGACTCCGTCTCAAAAAAAAAAAAAAAAAAAGTTGGGGACAGCTGTGGTGGCTGACACCTGTAATCCTAGCACTTTGGGAGGGCAAGGTGGGAGGAGAGTTTGAGCCCAGGTGTTTAAGACCACCCTGGGCAACATGGTGAAATCTCACCTCTACAAAAAATTTGCTGGGCATGGTGGTGGGCAGCTGTGGTCCCAGCTACTTGTGAGGCTGAGGTAGAAGGATTACTTGAGCCCTGGATGTTGAGGTTGCAGTAAGCTGTGATCATGCCACTGCACTCCAGCCTGAGTAACAGCAAGACTCTGTCTCAAAAAAATAAAAAAATAAACACTTTTGCAGGCTACTTCCAGGAAGTGACCTGGAAAAGGTAGAGGGGAAATCCTACTCTAGCTCCTTCCTCCATCCTGGAGGGGAAATGAAGATGATCCTGTGGACTGAGCAGTCACCTTGAAGTAGGAGGCGGAAGGAGCCACAGCCATGATGATTATGGAGCTATCACCTGAGGCCTGGCCTGCCCTCTGTTCTCTCAGATAAGCCGTCTAGAGGTACGCATCTATCTTGTTTATGCTACTGGGTTTTCTGACTCATGAAGCTGATCCTAATCCTAACTGATATGCTTCTTCACCACCAGTGACAGTGATGATGGTAAGAAAAGTGATGGCAAGAAGTAATACAACACCTGCACACATACCCTGAGACTCCTTACCATATGCCAGAAAATACAGTAGAGGCTTTACTCATATTATTTACTTTAATACTTGCAAAAACCCTGTAAGGTGGGCATTATAAGTCCCATTTCTTTAGTTAAGCATCTAGTACAGTCATTATTCTTGTTGTTCTAAAATTTCACAGTATGCTTGGTGGGAGTCTTTAAATCCACTGTGCAGGGTACTTGGCAGACCCTCTTAATCTTCCGCTTTCATCAGTCACCATTTTCTATCAGTTATCCACTTTCTATCTTCCAGAAGTTTAACTTTATTATCAACTGATAGCATTTCTTCACTATGGGTTTTTATTAACCTTTTAAATTTCTATTTTATCATTAAATGGTGTCTTGAGAGAAAGAGGAGACTCAGCCATGTGGTCATTCCATCTATTTTCACCACTAGGAAAAAAGTGCATGTGCTTGTGTGCGCGCGAGCGTGCCTGTGTGTGCGCCTGCATGCCTGTGTGTGTGCATGTGTGCCTGTGTGCATGCATGTGTGCCTGTGTGCATGTGCATGCCTGTGTGAGCCTGTGTATGTGCATGCGTGCCTGTGTGTGCGCCTGCATGCCTGTGTGTCCATGTGTGCCTATGTGTGCACCTGCATGCCTGCATGTGTGCGTGCGTGCCTGTGTGTGCATGCGTGCCTGTGTGTGCGCCTGCATGCCTGTGTGTGCGCCTGCATGCCTGTGTGTGTGCATGTGTACCTGTGTGTGCATGTGCATGCCTATGCATGCACCTGCGTGCCTGTGTGCACCTGCATGCCTGTGTGTGTGCCTGCGTGCCTGTGTGTGTGCCTGTATGCCTGTGTGTGCGCCTGCCTGCCTGTGTGTGTGCATGTGTGT